ATGGGGTGCTTGGGTGGCTTAATCTACTACGCATGCAACTCTTGATTTCGACTCAGGACATGATCTCAGGGTCTTGGGATCGAGCCCTGCATCGGGATCCACACTGGGCATGGGTCCTACATAAGTTTCTCTTTCCCTTTCCCACCCTCCTATGGTTACCCCCCACAATCCCATGCATGCATGCACACACCGTTGTGTGCTCTCTTTCTAAAAAATAAATTGAAAGTATGATATAGTATTCAGGAGCAGGAACAGGAACCTCCTTTAGCATGGAGAGGAATGGATAATAAGATTTTGACCCTAACCAGTGGGAATAAGGCTAAAAATTTCAGGCCTAAGTTCAGGGTCAGACACTGATATTCAAAAGATTTGTCATTCTGATTCTTTCTAACTTATGAAACTTAGAAAATTTTAACTCTGAACTCTTTAAGGAAACAGGGTTAAGAGGTCATTTGTTGGTATATGAGCATCTGCAAAAAACCTGTTTCAAAAGCTCAGCACTGGTGCGCACCCACACGTCATAGCCTTGGCCTTTTGCTGTAGACTCTCAGCACAGCACACAAGGACGTGCCTTTGTTACCAAGGAAATGACTTTCTCAGAGCAAAGAGATATTGAGGACACTTCTCAGTAAGCAATACAGAACAAGGCCCTATTGTTTCTTAGACCTGCTATTCTGTGTAACATGAAGCTCTATGTCCTGTCCCTGTCCACCTGGCCCATTGCTGCTGCGGTGGCAGCGGCCAAGCCAGGCTTTCCTTGGTGAAGTCCACCCTGTAGCTGACTGTCCTCCTTCTCTTCCTACTTGCTTGGGCAATTGTGGCATGTGTTTGAAATGAGCAATGAAGAAACGTCTTAGGCAATTTTGAATCAGTCTCCGAGTGCTGCAGAAACTTCAAACACAGATGTGGACGGGGTCACTGAGGCCAGGACTCTAGATGTTATTGCTCTGTGGTCAGATCAGCTGCTTCTGCAGGCCAGGCATGGGACCACTGGGTGACTATATGGCAAAAATGACAGTAGGGACACTCAGAGCCAACAATCCACGCCCCCACGAGCTGGGAACCAGCTTTGCTTCACATGTGAGTTCTTCCTCTTTTAATTGTCCTTTTAGTTGAAATTAATTAATTAATTAATTATTTGGAATCAGAACTTCCTGACAGTTGCCCAGCTGACATGGCTGAAGCTCCTTTCCCCAGATCAACCCTGAAGAAACTACAGAAGCAAGAAAGAAACATAGATTTTAAAAATTATGAACAAACTACCCACCTCCATAGTGCTTCTCCATAAAGGGGTTGCAGATGGGAATAGGGGCAATGGATCTAGTGCTTGGGTGCATGCCTCTTTTTCCTTAAACTCTATTCCTGAGGATATTCCTATTCCTATTCCTATTCAGAGGATAGCTGATTCCCCCTTTCAGTATGAGCTCAAAGGACAGAAAGTACCCCAATTTGGACAATACATACTATGCAAGCAAAAATACTAAAACGAATAGAAGGAAGATATAAAATGAGCTTGATATAAATATCCTGAAGAAAATGACAATATATTAGTAATTTGAAACAAGCAAAGGAGGTCATGAAAAGATCTAAATAGAAATATTAAGTATTAAAATAGCTGAAATAACACAATATATAAGGTAAGTAGTAGGATAAATAGAGTTGAAGAATGAATTAGATAAGGTTAAGGGAACTTTCCCAGAAGGGAGCAAAAAAGGATAAAGAGACAATAGTATGAAAACAAAGCTAAGACATAAGGAGGAAAGAAGTAAAGATGTTAACATCCAGACCACAGAAGTTCCAGAGAAAGAGAAAACTAAAAACCAAATACAGGAAATATTTGGGGAAATCATGGAGGTACATTTCCCAGAATTAAAGAACTTTAAAGGTCTCAGATGAACTAGACTTGTGGTGTACCACATGGAGAGATAAAGAAAAACCCACACCCAGACAAACTGTAGAGCAATTAAAAGTTTTATAAACAAAAGAAAAGTTTTAAAAACAAAAGAAAAGTCTAAAAGCTGCTAGCAAAAGATGCTACCCTCTTGTAAAGGAGCAAGAGTCAGATGACAGCCGACTTCTCACAGCAGTACTGGAGGTAGCCAAGAAATGGAGCAGCCCTCTTCCAACTTAGACTCTTATATTCCAGCCACATTCAAATGGGAGGGGATTCTCCAAAAGAAGGAGGAGGTTCAAATCCTGGAGGAAGAGGGTGAATGACAAACGTGCACTTTGATAGCTTTGGCAAGGTTCTTTAGCTCTTTGAGCATCATTTCTCTAGGAAAGACAATGGCCCCTTAAGTCATCCATCCGACCATCCATTCATCCGTCCATCCACCCAGCCAGCCAGCCAGCAGCAAATGTTCATTAAGAGCTATTCTAGTTATCTCTTATTTCATAATGAACTACCCCAAAGTTTAGTGACTGAATTAACCATTTTACTGCATCTCATGGTTTTGTGAGCTGGGAATTTACGCAGGGCTTAGCTGAGTGATTATTCTGCTCTACGCAGAGTCAGCTGGGGTCCTTTGGGACAGGCAGATGGTGGCTGATCTGACCTGGATCGTTCAAAATGGCGCCATGTATTTGTCTGATTTTTTGGCAAGTTCAGCTGGAAGGCTGGGCTCAGTTGGGCTCATCTCCCTCTCCATGTGATCCCTACATGGGCTCTCCAGTAGGGTAGCTGGATTTTGTATGTGAACACTCATGGCTTGAAGATACCAAGTTCTCCTTAAGACTAGGCTTGGAGCTGGCATAATGCCACTTCCACTCTACTCCATTGCTCAAAGCAGTCATAGGCTAACCCAGATTCAAAAGAAGGAGAAATAGATTGCATCTCTTGGTGGGAGATGTCAAAAAATTTGCAGCTACCTTTAATCCAACAATGGGCCAGGCATACATAGGCCATACAAAAACAAATAACACACGGCTCTGTCTTCGAGAAGCTCATAAGGGTCACATGGCAAATGAACAAAAGAAAGCAGGAAATGAGATCAATGCAAAGATTCATTGTAAACTGCAAAACACCTCTACTATGAAGATTTGCTCTAAAACTAGAATATAACAAACTCCTCTGATGCTCTCAAATACCAGTTACCATTTTTTGACCAGTTTGCCAGGAATCAGGAACTCAGTGAAGAGCTTTCCTGGCTTAACCTTCCCCAGTCCTCAAACCAGTACTACGACTAATTTCTATACGATTCTCCTTGCTTAATTATACAACATCTTGGGATCTTGTCTTATCTCAGCACCCATTACTCTCCTGACAGTCAATGCCATTTCCTGGGTGTTTCTAAAGATGCCCAAACAGGCCTCTGGCTACTTGAAAAGAGACTTTCAATTCACAGAGACCCATCCAGCTCATCCTTCAAGGCTCTGAGCCCTTTCTCTCACAATTTTTATTCTAATCTGCTGTCTTCTGAGCCGTGAGGCAACAAATTCTTGGGCTCCAAGGCTGACAGAGGTGACGACATATTTAAAGGTGCTTATGTTTTATAAACAAAATTTATTAAGTTCCTACTGTGTATAAGGAACTAGACAACCAAACTCTTGGAGCAAATACATTTTCTGTCACAGAGACTGGCCACCCAGACAAGAATGTAAAACCGTACATTTATTTTTCCCAGTTGGCAAAGTGACATACATAGGTAAAAAGAGACAAAGTTAGAATGTAGAAAATTTGAAGAGTAAAAATAACAACAACAAAAAAGAAAATAGTCATAATCTCACCATCCAAAAAACAGTACTGTTAGCATTTTAATTATTTCCTTCTGGGTTTTCATTTATTTGTTTTTTAGTTTGCTAACAAAAGTAAAATACTATTCTTTAGAACAGTTTTAGGTTCACAGAAACACTGAACCAATACTACATACTTCCCATGCATACAGCTCGTCCTGTTATTAATATCCTGCATGAGGTGTACAGCTGTTATAATTGATGAACCAATATTGAAACACTATTATTAGCTGAACTGCCTTCTTCACATTAAGGTTTATTTTTGTGTTATACAGTTCTGTGGGTTTTGACAAATGCACAAGTTCATACCGTATCATAATGATCACCGTCATCATTTATCTTTCCTACTATCCGACGCCACCGTAAGATAGTTCCGCCTGTGCTTTTCTCTATGCTTTTCTGCTAGAGCCTGACACAAGCCTTCCTTTATGTTATGGCTCTTCTCTCTGTGTTAATAAGCTCTTGTAAACATTATAGACTACAGCCTCTGCTTCACCATTCCCCTCATGGTAGACATTCATGCTGCTGGCGGTTTTTCACGTATCATAAGGTATTTTAAAATACCTTATGATATTTTAAAATCAGCTCATGGAGATAGCTTGCCAGGACTTAGATAACATTTAGGAGGGAAAAAAAATCAATTTAGAAAGAAATATGTTGTATGGCGTCCCCCAGCACCTCCTAGACAAAAGACTTTTGTCAGAAGGCTTGAGGCTTGTGTCGCCTAGACTTCCAGTGTCCTTTTGCCCTGCACTGATGGGCAGATTGGGCCTTCTTAGGAGGGCTGGGAGAGAGACCAGCTGGGGCTTAGTGCCCTGCTTCCACAGGGAGGCCCTGGGCTTTGGCATTCACTCCCCTCTTCACTTCGTCTCTCCAGCACTCCCCACAGCCTTCTTTCTTTCTTTCTTTCTTTTTTTTTTTAAATTTTTAAGAATTTTTTATTTTATTTATTTTTAAAAATTTATTTTACTATGTTCAGTTAGCCACTCTATAGTACATCATTAGTTTTTGATGTAGTGTTCAATGATTCAGAGCCTTTATATGTACACCTGGCACTATTTTTGTTTGCTCTTAAGACTGTTTGGCTCAATGGGGGAAGATAGCACTGCTGTTAGTAGACGTGAACTTGGGCCCCATAGGATGCTTTTGATGAACATGTCACTTGGGTTAGCCGGGCAGGTCAAACCGCCTCACAGAAATCTCCAAGTGTATAATTGCCCAGAATTTTTATCAGAGGGCAAAAGACTGCACAGATAATATCCCTTTACCATTTCTCCAACAAGCACATTCCAGAATTAATAAAATATTTGTTTTGCTGTGAAACCGATAACCATACGTTCACTGTATCTGCAGAACCCTGGGGCGACCAGCACCTTCTCACACACTGGGTCGTGTGACCTGATGACAGTTCAGCATGGAAGTCATTAATGCCACTTTAGAGTGAGAAGCTTTGGCCTATGTGAAGTTCTGGGAGATGACGCTGCCGAAGGCTGCCCTTCTTGGCCGTCACACAGCTTCCCCGCTGGTATGTGGCAGAACAGGAAGCTGAAGGCAGGACGATGTTTTCCTCATCCACCCCAGCTGCCCAAGAATGGGGGAGGCCACCTTTCACACCCCGTCATCCCATCCCAAGGCATGGGTGCCAGCCCCAGCCTGTGGGCCCCCACAAGGCACAGAGAGCCTTGTTTGTTTTGGCCCTGGGAGTCCGGGTCTGTCCTCTGACCTCTGACCTAGAACTATTTGTTCCAGCCATTCTTGGTCTGTCATCCTGGCTCAAAACAAAATGAACGAAAGTGCTTTCCTCAGGCCCTGCTTGGGTAGTCCAGGGGTCAGTGAAAATGACTGGTGTGGTCATGTGGCTGATGAGTCATTTTGGCCTTGAAATAACAAGTAAAATATACTATAGTTCACTGCCTAGTATGGCACTAACAGCTGGGAAGCAGTAAACATTGGGAACATAGTCTTTGGGCCAGACACATTTGGGCTTGAGTCCTATCTTTACACCTGATTTCGGTAAACTTAGGCCACTTAAACTCTCTGAGCCTCAGTTTCCTCATGTGTAAAGTAGGCTAAGCCTAGCGCTTATCTTCTAGAGTAGTTGTGAGGATCACAGGAGAAAAGAACAGGTAAAGTACTTATCCTACTGCCTGACATAAGGAAGCCCTCGCCGTACTACTGTTTGGATTATTCAGTCACCAGGAAAATCCAGAAGACTCAGTCTGTTGGGTCAATCCCTGATGTTTCTAGAACTGTTGGTAGACACTGCTATCTTGCTAAACAGTGGCATTCTTCATGAAACACCTTTACTTTTGTCTTTCAGGCCTCCTGCTTCAACAAATACCCACGGCTTTAGGTCAGGAACCTCTGAGGGAAAGTCACCTCATAATTGTGACATATGTGAGTATATCTTTGACAAAGACCCACACGCACAGGTTTTCTGACACACCCGTACAGCCTGTTGGAGGTGGCTGAGTTTTGACTTCAGATTTTTTCACACAGCTGGCTGGAGTTTACTTCCCCTTGGGGTGTGCTCTGGATCTCCTCCACAGTGATGGCCAGTGCCACCTGGCTGAGGGACTGTGAGTCTTTGCCTCCATGTGGGTGAAGTTGCTTGAGAGGGGGGAAAACTTATTGGTTTGCTGTCATCCTCACACGTGGTGAGGTTATGAGTAATTCTGCTAGAGCAGAACCAGGGTGAGAGGGTTTTATCCCCTGCACAGAGTAGTAGGAGATTCAGTGAGATAATTTATGTGAGAGTAGCTGCCCACTGTAGAGCTCCTCACAGATCCAACACGGAGGATGATGAGGATACACCTTCCCAACCTTTAAGAGATCACCTCTGGACCCACCCAAATGCACAACCACACTATACCTTGACACACAGGCGTGTGCACACACACCACGCCCCATTCTATAGTCGAGAAAGGATCGCGTGTGCCCCTGAGGGTGGGTTGGGATCAAGAGTACGTATTTCTGCTAGTGTTTTTGTTCTCCTTCCAGTCAGGTCCGGTCGTTGCCTCAAAGCAAACAGGGCACCTACAGGGAGGGACTCCGGGGAGTCCGCGGTCAGCTCGGGTGCGGCTCTTCCGGGCGGCGTCCAGCAGGTGGCGCTGCACCCCGCGTGATCCCGGCCGACCGGCCCACGCTCCCGGGGAGGCACCCCAGTTACTGGGAAGTCGGGAAGTGGGTTTTCGCGCACCCTAAGCTGCAGCCGTGGCGAACGCAAGTGATGACACACCGGCTTGACGAGGGCCTTTGTCAGAGGCACGGGGGATCTGGCGTCACCGCGAAATGGAAAACAAAGTGCTTCTGCGTGCCTGGCCAGAGTTTGCTTTCCTCACCATTGGTTCTGGGGCATTTACAGGCAGAATGAGTTCATGTGAAATTTCAGGACCTCGCCATGACTCAGGTTCATTTTCTGTAAACCAGTCAGCATTGACCCTTTCCCCTCGCTTTGGACATTTACTCAGACTTTTAGGGGACCAGTTGTATTTGTGCTCGCCGAAGATATTTGAGTATTTCATAAGCACATCTATTTTTTCAAGGGCACTTTTTTTTTTTTCTTAAACCCAACTTGGGACAGATTTGTATTTTGAGATTTTTGTCACTCTTAGCTCCAAAAATAGGTCTGCCTTGTCTATTATTTATGTGTTCAGAAGTATGCTGTTTAGAAATTCAAGTGAAAACTGTAAAACATTATTCTGGCAGGAGGCCCAGGATGGGATTGTTCTTGGAGACCGTGAGTTGGTCAGAGCAGGAGCTGAAAATGTGATTGAGGGGAAATGAACTGAGGAGAACCTGCCCAGAGTTTTGGTTTTTTGGGTTTTTGTTTTGTTTCGTTTTTTTGTTTGTTTGTTTGGTTTTTGTTTTCTGCACCTAGAAAAAAAATGTAGATGACTAGAGTTGATCTGTTCTGAGGATTATGGCAGAATTTTGGTGTTGGGGAAGAGACACAAGATGGTGTTAGAATTGGAGAGAAAACAGACCTGGAAAGTTCTGAAAGGTTTGAGCCAGTGACCAAGGAGCCTGAACGATAGCCTGGATTTACAACAGAAGCACCTGAAGAGGATTAACTTGACTGGATTTGGGAGGGAGGGGACACAGGCTGGGAAAGCTTTTCACCTGCAGGAGGGGGATGGGAGCAGCTTCTGGCCAGGACATGAAGGTATGCAGGGTAGCAGGGTAGCGTCTGGGCCACACAAAGGTGACTTTCTCACCTGACTCTCCTCAGCGTGTTGCTCTGACTCTTCTCCTACATTTAGAGGGAAATAGATGCCAGAGAAGATACCTACGTCCTCATTCCAGTTTCAGCCGGTTGTTCTTCTGGGATCTTTCCTACCCGCGTCCAGTCCCCTTTCCCACCTTGTGTAATCTCAAATCTCATTGTTCCCTCAAAGTTCTCCTACAGAAATCTCTATGCCTCGTTAATTTGTGTGTGTGTGTGTGTGTGTGTGTGTGCTTTTAATTGGGCTTTGTTTCTGGCTTTTGGTGTTTGGTTCTTGAAGGTTTTTACTGGGAAAAATGATCTTTGGGGGCTGGAGAAGTTAGGAAATACATGGTTTCTCTTGATTGCCTTTTTCCTTCCAGGGCTCACTGGTGGGGGATGGGGCGGGGGGGTTCTCCAGCTGTCCCAGGGTTTCTGGCTTTAGTGGAATTGGGTGGGGGCCCACGGGAGTGAGGGGCATGATGCAAGCACTGAGCACTTTCCAGGCACAGGGACAGGGACATTTCAGGTGAGTAAGCACACAAAAGCTTGAACACCTTGAAAACCAAGTCCAGCAGAGTTTAGCTTAGTCTAAATAAACTCATCCCTATCCCTACCCCTTAGGGCACACGGGAAGAATGATGCTTGTGTGTGTAATATATTCTCATGGATGTATGCAATATTATGAGTAATTCTTGGCTTGTGTTGTAAATTCTCTCCTGTTCTTGCTCACTCAGAAATGTACGGAAATTGAAGAAAATGAAAGAATTCAGTCTTTATTAGCCTGTGTGTGTGTGCGCGTATGTGTGTGCACGCATGCGCATGTGTTTTATGCGGGAGAGGAAACAAATGCAAAAGGAAACTTTGCTAAGAGATTATGATTGATCCTGAGTTATGAGGGTAGTAGATATGAATAAAGCCAGAAAACAAGAGTTCTTCACTCAAAGAACCATGCGCTGGTCTGGCATTTTTAATATGTGACCTTTGTAGAATAAAATAGGTAAGGTGAATTCACATCACTTTGGAGATGGTGATACTAAGACTCAGAGAGGGCTTATGTGAATTTTTTAAGACCATGGGATATCACAGGTACAGTGAAGTACCCAGCTTCCAGTTCATGCCTTTAAACACCTCTTCCCCTTTGTGAGGTGAGTGGGGAAGACCAGGAGCAAATCTGATATGTGCTCATTCCATTTTCAGAGAAGCCGAGCTCAGGTGTCTCCCACGAGTCAAGAGGGCTTGCCGAGACCATGGCTACGTCCCCTGATGCTCAGGTGAGTGTTCTCTCAATCCTATTACCCGAGGAAGCCACCATCTGTGAAACACGCAGGCTGAGAGGCTGGCGAGAATGTCGTTTGGTAGTCCCAGGTTGACAGCTTTGGTTTTGTGTAATTGGGGAGGTGTGTGGCCCGTTGGCTGGGGTTTTATCACTCACCCCCTTTCCCTTCCTGAGAATTGTTTGTGTTGCAGAGATTTCCTGTCTGTATTTTTAGTGTCTGATTCTCCACGGTTGCTCAAGATCCGTGGCCATATTCTACAGACTCACCAGAGGCCCTGACGCCCCTCATCAAACCGAGGGCCGCTGTGTGGAGAGCACTCAGTGTGGAAAGCCCAGGGCTTGTCCCACAGCTTGCCTTAAGGGTTCCAGCTGATTTTTCACAACAGGGTTTGCCGATAGCTTCCCTTTCAGGATTACAGTTTCGTTGGTTCGCTTTCTTAATGCTGAATCAGAGAAAGGACATGTTCTGGGGGTGGAGCAAAAGGGAATGGGTGCCGTGAGTGGCCACACAGCCTTTTTTTCTGTGTCCCCGCTCTTTGTGGATGCTTTTCTGCCATCTGGACTTCCCAAAGCCCCGCGTCTGTGGGCAAGGCTGCGCGGGGAAGGAGCTGAGTCACAGCTTTGCTTCTCTATAATTACACGTTTTATCACCTCATCTGACATAGACGGGGTGTTGGTTGGAAATGAAATACACATTAGGAATAAGCTCTTTAGAAATAGAAGGGGAAAAAAAAAAAAGCGAAAAACCCGGCTTTCACAATGTGAAGGCTTTTCTCCAGTAGCTAAGGTCATGAAGAGACAGAGCAGTCATTTCCCCTTCCCACCCATACAGTCAGGAAAATGAAAACCTCCAAATAAACAACACTGTAAATTTCTCCTCAAACCCTCTTCTCGTCATCTTGTTTCGTGTCCTCGGTGTGCGTGTCCGGCTAACACACCATGCCAGGCGCTCCCCACCCCATCTTTTCTCCCATCTCCTTTGCTGTCGTGTCTCTCAAGACTTTATTCAAAACCACCTTCAGTATGAAATCCTGTCTCCCTAGGAGACATTATTTCATGGCATGTTATTGTGCTTCTGAAACCTGAGGATGGCTCTTGGGTCATTCTCTGTGTTCATCACATCGCCAGCAGATTAGAAGTTCTTCCAGATGAGACGCAGTGCCTTCTGATGCCTTTTTTTCTCCTTGTGCTTCTTCCTTCCTCGGGATAGTCCATAGTATGAGTAGCATCCAATCTCAAGCCTCTTTTCCAACTTAGCCCGACCCAGCTCCCCCCCCTGCCAAGCTAAGAACAAACTCCCTTCCCAAATGCATGTGTAATCAGACCCCCAAAATAGCCAGAACATGCAAACTAATGAAGTTTCCAGTCCACCTCTACCCAAATACGACCATGTTGATAGCATCTCCTTTTAGATGACAGATCTGGATGTTTCCATTGCTTGGTTGCTGTTTGCCACATGCTTCCTGGACAGGTTTCCAGGTAACCTTAATGGCTGTGCTTCTGGGGAAGGAGGAGTAGAAAATAAGTCACCTCTTCAGTAAGTGGTTGTAAAAATATAACAGCATTTAAAAGCTTTTAAAGAGCAGCTCTCTCCTTCCGGTGGCTCAGGCCCTGTTAGCTTTGTGCTAGGAGTCCCCATAATGCTTTGTGCTTGGCAACCTCTCAGTAGGACAGAAGGTAGATTTAAAGGTCAGGAGATTGATTTTTTTTTTTTTTTTTTTTTTTTTTTTTTTGGTGGAGGGCTTTCCATGAAGGGTGTGGGAGAGGAATCACTCAGGGAAGCAGTGGTCAGTGAGGCTTACTTCTCCATCTGCTCCTCATTCATGTGTGAGACTCAACAAGCTCCTTGTCCAACAAGTGAGAGTCCCAGACCACAGAGGGGAGCCATTTATCCTAGAGGTCCCAGGGGAAGGGGGCACCTGGAAGGAAGAGGTAAGGACTGTCACTCCCTCTCCTCCCACTCACATTCCCATCAAAACTTGCAGGGCGAATGTCCCCAAATTGCATGTGTGTTTTGCTTTGATGTGGCCACACCGTGGCCACCCAGGCTTACTCTGGGGCAGCTGAATCCCATGGTTCAAACTAGGCCTGACTGTCCAATTTTGGAAACTGGGAGGCGTTTTCCCC